CTTTGAACACTCCTTTTTGTTTTAGTAGAATTTGTTTACTTTATAAAACGTGATGGAATGAACGTGGGCTTTGGGGCCAATGGCCCCTGGGGTCAAACTCTGGCTCTGCCACCTTCTCGCTGTGTGACCTTGGACAAGTGACTCAGCCTTTCTGAACTCAGCTTCCTCACTTTTAAAATGATGATGCCAGGTGTGGCCTGTTAGCTTGGGTAGAGCGTGGTGCTGATAACACCAAGGTTGCCGGTTCAATCCCCGCATGGGCCACTGTGAGCTGCACCCTCCTTAAAAATAATAATAGTAAAAATAAAACGATGAAGCCATCCTCTGAGTGTTGCCATGAAAATTAAGTGAGCCCATCAAGTCGAGAGCCTCCTGTGTATCTGCTGGTACACACAGCCACGACTGCGGTGCCCACGACCGCAGTGCCCACCTACCAGCTGCCCGCCACAGGGGTGCACTTGTAGGAACACCCACCCCGGGGACCTGCAGTGATGCCGGTGGATCTTCACTTCTGTCTCTATCATAGTTGCTCCTGCCAGGGTCAGCTGCCGTGTGTCCCGGTCTTCCGACTCAGGGACTTCTTCCTAGCCCTTCTGATGCTTTGGGAGTTTCTGCAGCTACACAGGATGGTTGCTTTGCTCCCAGGAAGGCTCCATGAACAATGTCTCAGTAAGTCATTCAAGTGACCAGCGGGAGCATCTGAGGTCTCTCACAGAGCAGGAGGTCCCTTTGGCGCAGGGCCGGGCTCTGGGCGCGGCCGACCTCGGACTGGGTTCGCAGGTTCCCTGAATCTACCCACAGGCAGGACAGGAAATGTCCAAAGCACCCCCGAGCCTCGGATGGTGGAAATGACTAAGCCTGTGAGACTGTAGCCAAGGATATTAGGTCAAATGTCCCCGCAGTCCCCACTGCTGAGGGCATGGAGCCAAATCTTAAAAGCGTTTTTTGCGAAGAGAGAATTCTCGGGCTGTCTTTTCTCAATGGCCACTGAAGGAAGCTGATCGCTTGTATTCACGGGTCGTCCATCCCAGGTCGCCCGTCACAGCCCCGCTGGGGCCTGGGACTAGGGCCCATCAGGGCATCGGAGGCATAACTTGATAATGCAAGCCACCCTCACTACCGCCACCGCCACCACCACCATCATGTGAACTGCTACAGGGTAAAGAAGAAGGCTTGCCAAGTCAGAGACAAACTGCAAACTTCCTGGACACTATCCTTTCCGCTCCTAGAAACTCGCGATAATTAATTGCAAATTTAACAAAATTTTGTACAGGTATTTATGTATATATCCCAATTTTTAAAATATTTTTATAAACCCATAAGAATATCAAGTTCAATGGTAATGACTAATGTCTAGTATTAATAAGTATAACTTTGCTAGATATGAAGCATAGATGACACTAGACATATTTATTAATTTTTAAAATGTAACATCATCACGGAATCTCCTGGGCTGGATTAGGGAAGATGTTAAAATACTCCACCCTGCATGCATTGATGAGGTACCCAGAGATTGGGGGACTGGACAGAGATCACCCAGCAAGCCTGTCTACATGACGAGCATTTTAAAAACATTTTTAAGATGAAAAATAAAACAATGGCGCCTTTCCCCTTGCATCCTGTGCTCCGGGTTTCACAACTAATTACTGTAGACTATTCTGAAGAGGAATTTGGAATACATAGTTTCTGCTGTTTCCTCCCTGTCCCCATGGGACCCAGCTAGTCCAAAGTTCAGAGCGATGACTTCCTAAATATTCCAGGAAGGTGGCTGCTTCTGGTGGGTCCCCTAGGTTGATGTGAAAATGGTTTCATTTGGGCCCCTGCGAGCTGGTTCCATCATCACCACCATGGTGTGACAGCCCCCTCTTGGGGACAATGGCCAGTGTCCAGACCCCCAGGCTCCCCTTCCCCATCTGCTCTCAAAAGCTCATCGTAAGCTAGTTGGAGGACTCAAAGCATAAGGGATTCCTTCTAGGAGCATCAGAACCAGCAAACAACCTCTGCAGAGAGGAGCATGATGGAACCCCACCTAGGGGGAGGTTTGGTGGTCGAGAAACAGTGTCCTCCCGGGGCAGAGCTGAAGTCTGGCTGGAGGGTTGGAGAGATATGGGGTGAAGGAGAGGACAGCGTGCCAGGGGCAGCGAATGTCACCACATGTGGGGAAATGCTGTCCTTACCGGAGAGCCGAGCTGCTCATGTCCTCCAGGCACTGACTGAATGAGAGCAGGAGCTGGTGTCCTGGGCTGGGAGCAGAAGTGAAGGCAGCCTGGCCTTTTTCATAGATTTAGAAGAGGTCTCTGTTGCAATTGCATGTTTTGGCCCATTGCATTTTCCTGAAAGCCTTGGTCATTCCTTATTCTCCCTCCATTTGCTTCTACACGGAAGTAATTCAATACCTGTATCTGGGCATTCCTTTGCAAAAATTCCAAACCAGGGGTGGTATTTAGTGTACAGTTTGTTACAAGCCTCTAAGTGAGCAGGGGAGGGGGGATGTATGCCTCGGAGACATGGCCATGAGGAATGAGACTGGTTCCACCAGTCACGTGGCATGCGCTGTGTTGTAAATGCCAACATGGTCACAGCCGATGCACACGTGTGCACATGGACTCATGCAGGAACAGGGAGACGTGGAGCCCAAGGTATCTACTTATCCCTGTTATTCTGGCAAGGGGGCCAGCAGGACTTGAATTATTCAGCTGCACAGATCTGGTTACGGATCAGAAAATAAGTAATGTTTGCTCCAAATAAGAGATTTCCGAGGAAAGGAGAACAATTCCCCCAACTCTTAGGGGCCTGGGGTCTGAAGGGAGAGCTCGTGTGTAATGACTAGGTAACTCGCGGAAAGCTGATAGGACCATTCTAGTTCCACTTTCTACTATCAGACCCGCCTAGAACGGGCTGGTTCACCCCCCTCCTCCCCCACCCAGCTCACCTGGGCCATCTGATGGTTTCCGTTCCCTGCCAGCTTCCTTCTCTGTCCCCCCGCAAGGGCTCTCGGTCCAGCAGCCTCACCATTCCTTCCTCCTTCTCAAAGAAAACTTCTTTTACCTGCTGCTGCTCCCTGCCCCACAATTGCAAACTTGCCCGCCTTCATCTCCTGGCCTCCAGCCTCTTAGCAAGACACAACCTCTCCTGTGAGGCTCCGTCCCCTCTCTTCCTGCTGTGCTCTGGGCCCAATTTATACCCTTCTCAGGGGCCCTGGGGGTCTCCTTCTAGCTGGGTTCTCTGGCCCCTTCACTGCCTTCCAACCCCGTCTCCATCTGCAGTTGGGAGTGATATTGTAAAATGCAATTTTTCCACTCTGTGCTTAAGACAGCTTGTTGTTTCTCCTTTTCCATGGCTCAATCTACGACCCATAACTCAGGTGCCTCACCCCTGACTCCCCCAACCCTCACACCACCGCCTTGCGCTCTCTGCCTCAGGGGTACTGAGCTACATGCAGGCCTTGGGGCCTTCGTACACACACACACACACACACACACACACACACACACACACACACACACACTTCTGCACGTGCCATACACCAACCTCCCCCTTTCCATCTGGCACCATCTTTAATACTTGGTATCCAGGTAGGTCCATCACAGTGTCTGTGGTTCCGTGTGCTCTGCTGCTGCTGGGGATTTTGCATAACAGGTGTCAATAAACCTGTGAACCAGATCTAGGTCCTAATCTCGGATCTGCCAAATTAGCCTGTTTTCTTAGCAAACTCCCCCTCAGCCAGGTTCTAAGGCTTTTCTTCTACCCAGCGCAGTAGCAGAGAGGGGCTGAGAGGGAGCCAGAGAGGACCCCTCTGCTGTAGTGGCAGAGCCAGAACCCCCACTGGTGGTACCAAGCAGACCGGCCCATCAGAAGACCCTGGCTGGGTAACAAAAGAGCAGCCAATCCAGTCTGAGGTCAAATCCCCTTCATACAACTGCTGAAACCAGTGAATCATATTTTATGATTTAGGCCTTTCATTAGGTCTTGGAGACTCTCTGGCCAGTGTTAATGTGGCATTAGCTAATGATGGAGGCTGACGGGAAGGCGAGGGGCACACAGCACATGACACACCCGTGTGTGTCTACACACTTCTTCACAAAAACATGCATGCGAAGATGGTGAGTCTCTAGGCCCGCCTGGCTTTGGGGTGCAAGTCGTGGATTTCTAGGGACTTTCTAAGTATGTTAAACCCAGACACCGTCTGGCTGGCTGGAGGGCAGATGGTGATCCTAGAAATCACCCTGCCACACGCACAGGCGCTCGGAGGCGTGCACACACATGCACACGCACAGGGGAGCCAAGCCAGCCAGCCCCACAGTAGCCCTGGGGTCCGGCTGACTAATTGGGAAGTCCCGCGCACAGCGCTGTCGCGTCGCCACGCCGGGGGCATGTCAGCGCTGGAGGAAGCCGCGCGGGGCGCGCCCAGCCGGGCCACCGCGCCGCCGCGGCCCGAGGGAAGTCATCACAAGGCACCGGCGGCGCGCGCACGTGGAGGGGCGTGAGCACCGGGCCGCGGAAGGGGGTGGGGCCCACCAGGGGCCG